CGACGCGCTCGCGAGCGCGTTGCGGCGGCGGCGGCGGCGGCGGCGGCGGCGGCGGCGGAGAGGACGCGAAAGCGGAAAAGATTCCAAAGTAGCGGCCGCGGTGGTACAACACTGTTGGAAAATTATAACTCGTCACGCGAACCGCTAGCCGGCGAGAGCGCGCGTTAGAGCGTCGCGGCGCGCCGCGCGCTCTTTCTAGAGCGGATTTAACGGGGCATACCGGAGGACCCGGCTAGAACAAAAAGCGAATGGTAATACGCGACCAAGGATGCCATAATGGTGCCCACGACCAATACGACCGCTCCCCGTGGTCTACTTTTTGCCAACACCGTATGGTTTCTCCGGCCCAACTTTTGAACTCTACCCGTCCCTCTTCCTCTTTTATATTTAGCTCGCGTGCCGTCTCTTTCGCCTCGCTCTGCGAATCGGCCCCGCCGCTTCCAAGAAAAACGATGGTATCCCGGTGTGATTAGCCGGCGCTAGGCGTTAACGTTGCTCGGAGCAGGTTTGGCGGGGCCGCGCGACGCGTAAGCGAGAAGAGGGTAAAGCGAGCGTGCGAGTGCGCGCGAGCATGTAGCGGCGAGCGAGCGAGCGAGCGGACGGGCGAGTGTAGGAGGAAGGGAGAGAGGCAGAGTCGGGCGAGCGTGGAAAGGAGAAAGAGAAGCGGGTCCCGGCAAACAAGAAGCGAGCCGCAATGCATTCGCTCTACTCGCTAGATATAAATACGCGACAGAGGGCAAGGAACCAACCACGCCTGCACCGACAGCTACTGCCTAACGACACGGACACGCACACGCGGTCGCTCATTGTGATAAAGCAGAAGAAGGAGCACGCGGAGCGGGATGGAGAGAGTGGAGGCGAGAGAGAGAGAGAGAGAGAGAGAGAGAGAGAGGAGGGGTGGGAGAAAGAAGGACGATGTGGAAAAGAGAGAGAAAGAGGGAAAAAAAGAGCTGCGAGCAGAGAGAGTAGAAAGGGGAGAGGGAGATGGTGAAAGAGAAAGAAAGAGAAAGAAAGAAAGAGGGAAAAAGCGAGAGACGGGGAGAACGAGCGCGAGAGAGAGAGAGAGAAGAGAGGTGTAGGCTGCTCCGAGGCTGCGTTCGTTCGTTCATGCGCCCATCCGCGCGCTCGAAGTTGGGACGAATGTGGCCGGTCGAGTCTCTAGAAGACGCGGCCAAATATTGCATCCTCGGATAAATATAGGCGGCCACGGGTGCACAGGCCGTGCTGCTCGCCGCGCGGCTAACGCACACTTTTCTTCTCGGTTGCACGGCTGTCTTTGGGACGGCACGCAGCCATCTAGCCACCGACGGCATT